CTGCTGAAGAATGCAATTCGGCCTTATTTGGCATAAATCAAAATTTCTGCTTTATAAGTAATTTTTTTTGTTTGTTTCTCAAGGGAGTATAAAAATGGCAGCTGCGTTCTTTGTTGATGCTCACATCCAGTGGACAAATTTACAAAAATGTCCAGCCAGAAACATGTGAAATAGTTAAGGTGGAGATGTGCATTTGATGTGCATCTATTTTATACGTCACAGGCAAAGACATACAAAAAGCAGAGTTTAGTTTGTCTTGGTAATACTTTTAAAGATACATTCCTGTTACAATACGAACAGAATCTCTGAGTTTACAAGAATGACACTGAAATACATTTTGTTTACTTACACCCTCTTTAGCAGCCGAGGCAATTTTGCTTGCTCCAGTCGTAAAACTGCTCCATCCCTTAAAAGAGAGAGTGTCGTAAGCTATGTGTGAATAATAATAGTGAATAACCAAGTGTTCACTATTACATGTTAATTAAGTCGAAATGTTCTCCAATACAGCTTGTCCTGTAGTCATAAGAACTACTCGCTAGTAAGAGCGAAGATTATAGTCTCTCACTTAACTGTAATATAGTGATGAACTTCCATTATCTATGTCAAAACAGCTGCAATTTCAACAAATCTGAGTGTTTCAGATGTTATTCTACTGAAAAAGGCTACATGAAAAAAAATTCCTCCCCACCCCCCAAGAAAAGTAAGAGAACAAAAGAAGACATTAAAACCTTAGTAAACAGAGATTGCATCTTCAACAAGTAAACATTGCATGGAAAAAAACAAAACAAAACAAAACAAAAAAAAACCCAAAAAAATCAAGGAGCAGCCAAAATGTATGCCTGGAAACAGCTGAAGAGCAAACAAGAATCAGTGCTCAAAAACATGAGGCAGCAATTCATAAAATGCCTATTCAGCAATTTTCCGTTTCATAATAAAGCTTCGAACTGCTTGTTTCCGGCAAATTTTATCTTCAAAAACAAAAACCAAAGCTTTATTTTGCCTCATTGGTTCTTGGAAGACCTGAAAACCACTGGCCATTTCTTAAAAGACTTTTCTGTAACGAATCAGAAAAGCTTTCTTCTAACTACTGATTGTCAGATTCTGATTAAGAAACCAGGTAAAAGAAAGTGGAGTGGGAGAGTTATTCTAATGATTTTTAACAAAATCATGAAAAATCACTCCTCAGTTTTTTTAGATTTCGGTATTGTTAGTAACTCATTCATCCAGAATCTGCCCAGTAAAACAAGTGGAAAAAACCCCACCATACCTGAATGCATAAAAACCAGAAACAACTTTAACATGTCTGTGGTTGTCCTTGTATATGATAATGAATGAAGACACAGATATAAGTTTTTTTTTTCTTTGCAGATCATCACCACCTAATTTTAAGCTGTTCTACAGAATCTTTTAAACACGGCGCTACGAATGCAAGGTTAACATCCAAGTCTACCACTGCCTTTTATCAATTTGATTTCCATCAAAGTGTGCATGTCTCATTTAGAGTGTGGACGCTTTGGTAACGTATTGCCTTTTGGGTAATTTCCATACAAAGGTCGTAAATAGTAGAATCTTTTTCTCACTACCCCTTCTATTTAATTTGACTATGCCACATATTTAGATTGAGGGAATGACTGTTAAAAAAAGCAGCAAAAAATATTTTTTGCCTATCCTTTTGAAGTCTCTTTGTTAATTGTCCTTCTTGTCCTATGCTGACACAGGAAATATAATCATGTCGCCAATTGCACAAAAGGCAAAGTGATGTGTCTTGTAGTTTTTATGTTAAGCAGAGTCTCAAGGGACTCAAGACAAACCTAAACTGCAATTACATCTGCTCTTTACAGAACGAGTTGGATAGCGTAGTCAGCGTGAGTTCTACAGAAAATGCTCCTTCTGATAAGTAACAGCAGAAAATAATGTATAAAGAAAAATGTAGCATGTGTGGGGAAAAACAATCAATCATATGCAGTGGAAGGAAAACTGGTTTCCTCACGAGGATGACTATGCATGCAAATATTCAGTCTCACTGTAATAAACGACTTAAAATTGCGCTGTAGTGTGTATCTGTGGTCACAAGAGGGCATTTTAATCATAAGTTTCAATGAGATCATGTATTCAAGTAACGGTTGACAGTAACTTGAACAGCACAGTGTCATCTCTCCGTTGCTGTCTTAGCACATCTGCAATACATTACAGATGTGGCTTCTGAACTCTCTGGCCTACAATCTACAACACACCTAGAAAATACTCAGCAGAGCTATACTAAACGCCCTGTGGGATCACCTGGGATACCGTTCAAAGGCTCAGGCATTACCTTTTTCTATTATGTTCTAGTGAAATTATTGTATCTTTTGGAAAAAAACAAAAACAAAAAAAACCCCAAAACAATGGAACCTGGTATGGATATTTAGACCGATGATACGATGAGGCTCTACAAAAGACTACTAGCCGCTAACCCTGGTAGAAAACCTTACTCTACTTCAAAGTGACTCTGAATCCCAAATACTGTTCAGCACCGTAATGCTGCAGCCTATCAAAGCACCAATATGTCCCTGACTGCCTCCGACTTTATTCTCATTTTCCTTCAACAATGCATTTTTCACTATCTCTACTTTAATCGTGACAACTGTTCAACCACATGCTGTTATCTCTTCACACCCTGTCACAAGCATTTCAAATGTTTTCATCACTGCTCAGGGCTTCTGGCAGCCACGTACACACACATTTCAGTCATCCTCCACTGTACACACCTAATATGGTTAAGCTGTTCAGAGCATTACCAGCCTAACTGCTATTCCCAACAGGTAATTACTTTTTTTTTTTTTTTCTCTCCAAGCCCTGTTGAGTATTAGTTCTTAAGCCATTGCTATATCCTCATTTCCTTATTGCTATGAACTGATACCAGACATAATTCTTAAGTTTTGCTCAAGTTTCTCCCTTCATTTTGCCTTTTAAAGTCCACCAGCATCTTCTTCACCCTGAGAATACAACCAATACTCTACCTCTCTCTGTATCTACTTGCAGTCTTTAGTTTCTCTTCTCCATTTATATTATCCCATAATAGGGGATAAAATAGAAGAATATAGTAATTCAGGTCACAGAAGGCTTCAGGCATTTCCTTACCGAGTACAATGAAGACATAGCATTATTCAGGAAGTCATCCTCTTTTTTTGGAGGGTTTACTGTGTTTCCAAACCCCACATAGCGATTCTCTTGGCCACTACCATAAGAAAATGAATAAACAGTATCTGTATTAGCGTGCTTTCATTAAAACCATTAAACAAAAACTGGAAAGCATGAAAGAATGACAATTGTTTAACAGACTTTAAAATACACCTGGAAAAAAAAAGTCCTGAAGCACCTAGCACCCTAAATAGAAAACCACTCACTTCATAAAGACATAACACCAACAAGGATCCACTGGTGAATCCTTTCAAATTAGAGTGTCCCCTATGCAAGCTAATGTGGTCTTAGTGACTCTCCAGGTTTAACAGATCACCGATATCAGAAGTCTGAGTAAATCGTAATAAAGTGATACATGAAAATGCAAAAAGGAAAGAAAGAAGAAAACGTTGTTAGCTTTATAAATACCCCTGTTTAACTCAAATCACTATAAGATACTGTATACACTAAAAATTCCCTAGTTTGGAGCCCACCACATTAACATTTAGAGTTACAAGCTCTTTGTTCAATTCTATTCAAACATTTTTGTTATACAAATGCGTTGAGGCACTTTTCCTTCCTCTTACCCTTTATCATATATTATCAGCATATTTTTAATAGTAAACAAGACGTAACTGTTAACTGCTGAATCAGGATCACAGCTGTGTAGCTGTAGTATAACATCCGAGTCTTTGTTATGCTAGAGGGCCAGGCACTCAAAAAGTTAATAAACATTGCATTACCCTTGGTAGGAGCTGACATCATCATTTAACCACTCTTCAAAAGCCTTGTCAGAAGAGGCAGTTGCAGTCTGCGATTGTCCAGCAGAACTACTGAAATGAAAGATTTAAGAATCAAACTGTGTAAAGCAAAAACCGCTAGCTCAGCAGTGCAGCTTGACATGTATCACCATAACACAGGTGCAAAATTGATTCTTTCTTTCCTCTATCAAGTAGGGAACTCTAATGCAACCACTAAAAGCCACGGGAGTATTGAATGAATAAAGCAACAGTAGACCCAGACACAGACAATGCTACTCAGACTACAGCTAGCCCCTGAACTTGCCGGATGATGGCCAGGCACGAAGCGCTTCTTCGCTTGATTTACAACCGCTTTTTCAGTTAACTTGATTCTTTAGTGCAAAGAACAACAAACACTACATGCAAAAGCAGAAAAACACAACTGCCGCGGTCCAGCTTTGATGCTCCCGTCAGTAATTAGCACCATAAGGAAAAAGTCTGATGGTTCTTCCCTGGCATTCAACCGCGAACTGGAACAGCACTGCAGTTAGGGCAAGGCTGGGACGCGCTACGTGTGACTGACACAGTGACTAGTCTCAGGTGCATTACAAGCCAAGATAAAGCCAGCATGGCTTCTCCTCTGCTCTTGCTCACTTTTCTCTGCCATGGTTTAAGGTTCAGGTGGAGGAGGTGGGAATTATTACAGACATTAAAGCCCTGCTACCTCATATTCCTTAACTTCAGCAAAAGAAATGCTTGTTCAGACACCACCATCAACAGAATAAAACCAGCAGACATTCAAACATCGGGTTTTGATCCTGCTGCAGCTACATCAACATTCGATAACAAGAATACATACCGATGAGTGGAAGAGAGAGACATTTTAGGCTGAGGTGGGGTCCAGTTCCTGGCAGGAGACGTTTCAATGGACCACTCCTTGCCTTCAGCTACTGTAGCTACCTAGAAGAGGTAGGAAAACAATCAAGAACGCTAGGTCAAAGTTTTCATACAAGTTACACACCGGTCCTGTAAAGTGAGGACAAGTCATTTTTCCAATTTGCTGCCAGCTGCATAGATCAATTAACTTGTTTTCACAAGAAAACGATTTTTTTCTGAATCCCAGGCTAGTAATGTTGAATTGAACACTGATTTTATTTCAGGCAACTGATTTTTAGGCAACTTCTTCACACAGGCAAATTTGGTTTGAAGAGGAAAGACTACGTAAATAAAGAGATGTAAGCACTAACCACAGAATAATGGAGGAACAGAAAGAGGTGGATTTATACTCTAGCATAGGGCAGCTAAAACAGATACACAGAATTTAAATGTTCTCTCTCCCTCCTTCAAACAAAGGACGTGAAGTTCATCTCTTCACGCCATACCGCTCCTCCAATCCAAGTCATTACTTCAGCAAGTTAATATAAAATTTCCAAAGCCTTGCCACAGAAACTCTAGAGTTCCCCATTTCACACACTAAAAGGCCTACAGCACAGAACTTCTTTGCTTTCATCAAGATACTCCACTTCAGCCAACCGCCTCCTATTCCTAGCAACTTCTAAAGGTGCAAAGAGACAACACACGCAACAAACTTCAAAGCTGCGTGGACATCCCAGTGAGTACAGCATGTACCTTTTTACCATTCCCGTAGCAGGGTCAGCAGGAAAATACAGTATCTTTGTAAGTCTCTAAGCTCACGAGTTCAACTTGTTTGTCATTTCATTTTTGGAAATTCCAAGCCTCCACGAAATGATAATGCCATTACAATTATTAACTTATTTGTTTATAGGCCTGCCAGTGTTTGGCAAATTGATTTACCATTTTGTTACTACATACACAACAGATTTATTAACAACCACTTTGGATAAAGCTGTACTGCTGAAGTAGTAAACTGTCTACTGCGGATTGGGACAGCTCCACTAACTAATTGCAACAAACTGCAGCAGTGAAAATCCGAGCCACCTCAGCTAAATGCAGAAAAGAAAGTTTCTAAAGAAAATTCTTGCAAGAGTTAGGAAGAAGCACTCTAAGACCTACGCTTTCAAGAACGATTGCAGAGGTTCAAAAGGTTGCTACTTTCCCTCCCTCCCGCTTCAAAAACAAGTGCTTACAAAGTACTTTGGTATTTTCAGATGGTAAGGGAAGAGGACACACACACAACTGAACTCACCTGATCTCTAAAAAGAGCTGCGGCTTTGCTGTTGTACTTCTCTTGCATTGACCAGCAGGGATCATAGTCATCTTGAGATTCCAAGAACTCTCGAAATTTGCTATTACCTCCAGCCTTCATTTTCTCCAGCTCAATATCCTTCCATTTGTCCATGGTTACAGAACGTACAAAACTGAAAAGCAGTTTGTAAAAAAATTAAAATCACAGCTTATTATTAATTTCCTGCTCTATCAGCAAGGACAAAAAAAAAAGGTTATTACAACCTATCTCAAAAGTTGGGAGTATAAACATGTTAGAGAACACTCTCCAAGTACAGAAAGATAGATCATCCTAAGAAGGTGGTCAGAGCCTCACTGAAATAAGCTAAAATCCTGCCATTTACTGACACTTAAAAGAAGACAGTCAACAGAAGGCAAGTGACAGAAAAAGCAATTTTCTTCAAGCCCAGAAATTAATCTACCTCACTATATAGAAGAAACTTTTCCCATACTTCTTCACTCTGAAATTTTCTTTTCCTGTCTCTTTTCACAGTTACACTTAAGTGACCTGTGAGGACACCTCCTGTCCCACTCCATGCTTCTGCTCCTAACGACCATCAAGTACTGACAGCTCAACTGTTTAAAATAGCCTACCCTATAACCGGACCTCATCCCCATCCATGACTGCAGTTAGCATCTCAACGCTGCTTTGAGCCATAAATTCTTGCTACTGTTCATTAAACTATATTAAAAAACAAACCAACCAAACAAAAAAACCCCAAAAACGAGAAAAAACCCAAACAGTGCCCTGTTCTTAAATACAGGGTCACAGGGGGGAAAAAAGTGAGACATCATCCTCAAGAAGGCTTTTTAAAACTTGTATCTTGGCCGATTTCTTTCTTTTTGTCCCTAAAGATATACCGTTCATCATATCCTCATCTCAGTAATTTCATTTTTCCTTTCATGTAACATATGGAATAGTTCCAAACTCTCACTTCCTATGCAATTTCTACTCACTAATGAGCTTCACATCACCCCTTGAAAAGCAAAGCACATACTTCTGGACGGCCTCCTTGCTTTGGTGACTTCCCTCCTGGACTTTCTCTCCCTTCCTCATTTGAGTCACTATCCCATGCTCTGCCCCTATTATACACACATATACTGTGAGTCTCCAGAACACATAACAGTTCTTATCCCACAGATTCCCATCTCAGTTGAGTATGTTTCTTGGAAAAAACAAAAACTATCATTTATATTACCAGAAAAAATATCTCCTGAATGGAATAAAACTGTTTTATACACTTGCGTACACTACAGAAGCATTCTGTAAGCATACTGTGACTTTTTTTGCTCATCTCGCAAGCTGCTCTAGCACTACTTCAGTTTTAATCGATAAAGATTATACAATATTAAAAGAATAGAGTACAAGGACTAGTGCAGTGTTATCAAACGCCACTGCACAACCTCAAGATGCAGCTAGAGACATTACTTTCCACAACTGGGCATAACATAGCTGCCCTGGTGCAGCACACGCCCCAACTAATTACAGACAGGGCACAGAGAGTAGAGCTCACTTTGGAGAGAAGCACGAAGCATAACTGCCAGGGAAATGTTGGAATTGAGGCATTCTATACCCTTCTGAAACAATACATTCTGCTCACAGCCACAGTGCACCCTGAGGTAACCCAACTCAGTCCATCGTCTGCTTGAAAGGCTGACCTGAGGTGAACTCCCAAGCCTCGGTGTTTTCCTGAGCACTCAAGACAGATCCAAATTCCATAGGTCACACTCACCCACTGGGGGTTAAACGCACCACATTCAAAACAGACCTGCGAGAGAAAAACAATTATCTCTAACACTCAGTCATCACTTGTCCATGTGAAGTTGTTACAGCACAGCTCAAAAAGTCAAATCATGAAAACGTTACATGCAGAAAATAATTTCAGAAGGGAGAGTTCTTAGTGTTTGGAAACACCTTCCCTGACAGCATAAGCTGCCTTCAAATATTTATTTATGCTGCATGGAAAGAAATACTCATTAACTTGCCTGACCTGGATTGTACAAATTACTGTACCGACTACCAAAAGCAGTGAGGAAATACAGATGAGCAAATGGAAATTAATGAGCAAAGAATTCAACTTGATTTCACTTCCATATTGTCTTGAAGGAGGAGAAAGTAACCAAACTGAATTCTTGAGGTTTCCTTGGCAAAATAAAGATGCAACATTTAAAGTTTGGAACATTTATTCAGTCATACTACAGTCTGGCAGTAAATGATAGCAGATTTAAACAGAGGTTGTTCTTAAAAATAGCTTTATTGCTCATACAGTGCAACAACTTAAGTTCTTATGATTAGAATCACCATTCAAGGTTTAATGCATTGATATAAATAAAACTGAACCTGTCCACGGGCTATCACATTTAAGGTAGCATATAATCAAGCTACTTGAAATAGATCATTTTAATTAAGCTGTGCCCAAAACATCACTTGTTCAGCAGACTCCAGGGGTTACAGCATTACTAGAACTTCTGAAAGACTTGTGCCAAATACGCAGCAATGTATTATAATACATATATGAATAAAAGTTACTGGAACTAACACAGATATCAGACATCCAAATTTCTATGTTACCATTAGTTAGCCACACCAGTGCTATAAAGACGACAGCTGTAGCAGACCGCCACATACCTCTGGAATAGGTAAAAAGAAAATTCAATTCTACAAAACTACTCTAAAGAAGATTATAATTTTCTCACATTGTTCTCATCCTGTGCTCTCACTTCCTTGAGAACTTTCCTTGTTCTTGGACTTGCCATGATTCTACAAAGGGAGAAAAAGAACAAAAAACAAGTCATATTCAAGGATTTGATATTGGTAAGACGTTCAGTACCTCACAAGCATCTCTCTTTGAAAAAGAGCTTGCAATCTAAACCACTGAATCACAACCAAGTGCAGGGGAAAAACAAACAAACAAACTAAACAAAGCACCATAAACCCCACAACCTTACTTTTCCATTTACTTTGTACATTTTGGGGGACTTAAGTCATCTTAATTCATTCATTGGGAAGGTGCAACTCAGCCGTAGCTGAAAAGGGGGCAGGGGGTGACAAGCACGGAAACTCATCTATGGCATGTGTTCTATCAAAACAGACTCTTACTTGATGCTGCCCCCAGACCCATCCCCTACCCGTTCTGAAAGCACTTTATAATCATGCATGATTACACGGGATCACATGCATACAACCAAACAGACCTGAGCAAAAAATAGCAGAAACTCTTACACTTAGGAGTGCTGAACACATTGCTAAGAGAGTGCTTTACTGGAAGACACAAAAAAATTGTGATTTTCCAGAAATTTGCTTATCAATTGAATTCTAAGAAAATAAGGCAATTATTGGGACGTTTTACACAAAATAGAATTCTAATTCCGACAGTCATGTCTGGCAGACCACATTATCTTACTCTAATTTTTAGGAAGCATGAAACGCAGCAGCAGGGAGCAGTGTCAAGCTACAGATAAAACTCACATAAAGAAAAAAACAAATGTGACTCACACACAGCACACAGCCGGGAAAAACTGAGAGTACACAAAACACTCATGATTAAAAGAAATACAGTGTAGGGTGCAGCATAAGACTGCAATTTAGATAAAAAATGAATTCACATTTCCAACTAATTTGGTAGTACGATATTTAAATTAACTTTAAATAAATAATATCTCTTCTTCCTTTTTACTTCCAGTCCACCTTTTTCATTTCTACTCCAGAAAACAAACTTCTAAGACATAATAAAAGACAGAGAAGTCACCAAGCTGACTAGAAACAGCACCAACTACTAAATGTCAAGCTTATTGGTCAGTCAAGATATGAAGCGAAAAATAGCAGTTCCATGTTTTCATCACATACTGGTCTGAGAGGCAGAAACGCCTTAATGCAAGTCTTTGACACTTGTTCACTGTGCTATTTGACTAAACAGTCTTAACTCCTTAAATTATCGATAGGATTAACAACCTTGCAATAATTTTAGAAGGTAAATGATAAAGCATTATATACAATTGCCGCAACCCAGTAGGGGATGGAGGGAGAACACATCTTTAATTAGAAAAGGAAGGCTATTTCCTATATAAAGGAAAATGCTACAGGTAAGAAAACGTTAAATTTGTATGATTTTGACAATGTCAATTTCTTAGACATCTCTGAAGCAGAACAGCCTTCCTGTGAACTGCAACCACAGCGGTACAATAGATAATACAATTACACGCACCACCAGCTAAGACAACATGATTCATAAAGAAATAAGCTCCACGTTGTACCTACGTATTATCACGGTTAAAAGCAGAAGTTATCTGTGGCACAGCTCACAGCCTTTTATCTAAAGCACTTATTCCTTCGCAAACATCTTGTTGACAAGCACTTAATTCTCTGTAATTTAAGGGACAGTGTCTTCACTGATGTTTAGAATAATTTGTATTAGACAAAAACAGGTAAGTTGTGAAAAAAAAGTGGTTTAGACCAAAAAGGTTACTGTAGTTAATGGTGAGTAAAAGCTTCTAGTCATCCTGCATCGAATTAAAACTGAACAGAGTTATTTTCATCAATAATCAAATGGAAACTGCGTAACTTTCAGAGAAGGGAAACAAAAGTGTGGCAAGCGACCCCTTGTATAATGAAACTCTCCAAAAACATTCCAATAACAATCTTTAATTTTATGTAACTTACTCATGCGCATGTGAGGAGGGAGATAGCACTACACATAAAACATGCTTGCTCATATCTTAAACAGAGACCATAAACACATTCACATGAATCGAAGTCCACGTCTTCAACTCTAGTATTTGTCACTGGCAAGATAAGAGAAAATTCTCCCTCTGCAGTACAGAAATGAAGCAAATAACTTAGCAGTAACAGCCAGACAGACAATTGTGCATCCTTTGGGCCCTCCTCTTCGCCATTTTTCTTATATTCTCTTTGCATGCCAGCTCCCCTTCCTCAGGGCTGTATTTCTGAGAGACTTCTTGTATGCTACCAACAAGTTACAAAGTCCCTCTCTTTGGCTGGCCGCTCGTTCCCCTCACTGCTGTCCTTCCTTTACCATTTTTTTTCCTCCTTTTTCCCAGGTTGTTAAAGCAGGGTTTCATTCAGAGTAACAAAGAGAGGCAGACTACGTGCAAAGGCCTTCCAGCCTCAGTGGCAAACGATCACTGCTGGAGTGGAACAGGAAAGCCTTTTCCCACTCCAATTCCCCATGAGCCAGGAATTTTCTACAGGGCAGACAGAGACATCCATCCTACCACAGCCAATATCCACACCATTCCAGTGTTCACATACAGTACGAGTTTCAGATCTCTGACTCTACGCTGACAGAGGAAGCAATTGCCTTTGGGTCTGCCAAAACTGCTTTTTTTGATGAAAACTTTTTAAAAGCAAGACTTCAGCCAACTGCAATCTGAACACATGCCCATTCCAGAAGCACCAAGTTCCCTGACCAAACCACCACGTCTGCCTGGTGAGAAGGCAGAGCTTCATCCACACCACGTCATCCAAGAAAAGGAGGCGGTAACTAAGGCCACCAGCTTCTCACCGTTCTCTCCTCCACCAAATCACTGGGAAATGAAGGAAAGGGGGACAAGGAAAAAGGGTCACACTCTAAGCTTTCTAATAGGTAACATCTTCAGAGGTGCCTAGTCTATTTTCAACTATGTTTGCCCACAAAGTTGTAAATGATCAAATTATCATTGTTTAACACCCAAAAGCTGAGCCCTAGTAGCTGACTGGGCACATAGCCACTGTGCTGTTTAAGTTTCAGGAGTAAATACTGAAGTAACAACTGTCCAGACACCTTAAACAAACATGCATTGTTTTGATCCGATGTAAATAGACACAAGCAGTAAAGAAAATGTTTAGTTTAGGAAAAAGTTTTCATTGAAGAATGTAAATATTTTGGACTAAGGGTGGAAATAGACAGCTTCAGACAGACCAATCTCACACTCTTATTTCCCAAACAATCTGCTTCCAAAGCAAAAACCAGACGTGCACCATATGAGTTTCCATGTTAGGAAACTTTAGCTTGTTAAAAGCGAGCAAAAAGGCAGAAGTGGCACTAGACACTTTTAGGTGGAAATGAGCTGGAATAGGACTTTGCTCCTCTGATGTAGCAGCAAATTCACACAGCCGACCTGTAAAGAGCTTTGCAATCCGGTACACGAAGATTAAGCGGGTGACGTGGTCTGCATGACTTCATGGTCCTGAAGGCTCCCTACGGGTCTCACCAGGGCAAAAAGGCCACAGAGGCCTCGTCAGCTGAAGAAATGCTTTGAACCAAACGCTGCCACCCATCTCCATGGGGCCGGCAAGGTTCGCTTTCAAATATATATATCAAAGACTGTTGCAGACTTTTAAAGCCGTGCAGTTTTGTGTCCTAAGAAGCGCGGCCAGCTTACCAAGAGCTTCACAGGGGATGCGAGGAGGGCAATTTCTTCACGCACACCTGCGGTATCCGGATCCAAGCTGAGTCCCGGAGGCCTCCCTCAAAACATGGCCGGATTCCCGGCGAGCACACCGGCCTCCCCTTTCTAGGAAGAAAAAAATAAAATAAAGAGATAGATAAAATAGCGGGAGGAGGGAAAGGCCGTCGTGAGAAGTTCCGGCCTCCTCCCCTCCACGCCAGCCGGGCACCGGCACCTCCTGCCTTCCCTCAGGGGCCGTCCTGTGTGACAGGAGGGAAAGGGCAGGGAGCCGGCGCTGAGGCACCGCCACCGAGACCTGTCCGCAGCCCGGGGGAGATGAAGGGGAGCGGGTAACCCACCGCCTGTCCTGACGCGGCACCCACCGGTCCCGGTCCCGCCCGGCGCCTCACGGCGCAGTCGCTACCCGAGCCGAAGCCGGCGACGTTGCAGGGCCGCAAGGCATTGTGGGTGCCCGCCTTAACCCGCTGCGGCCCGGCCCCCATGAGATTACGCCTGAACCAACAGAATATTGAATTATCAAACTTCATTTTTTTTTTTTTTTTTTAAAGGGAGAAGAAATGGGTTTGTTTCAACCAAGCGAAAGCGAAATAAAGCTTGGCAGCGAAGGTCTGCGTGCACTGCGCTCGCTTCGGTTCCAGGCTGATAAAAAAACAACACTCGGTGGTTTAGCTCTGAGGGGAGGTTGCCCCTAAGGTTGAATTAAATCAAATTATAGAACCGTTTAGGTTTTAAGACTTTTAAGATCATCAAGTCCAACCGTTAACCTGCCAAGGCCACCACTAACCCACGTCCCCAAGCACCACATCTCCCCGGCTTTTAAATCCCCCCAGGGATGGGGACTCAGCCCCTGCCCTGGGCAGCCTGGGCCAGGGCCTGACAGCCCTTTGGGGGAAGCAGCTTTTCCCAATACCCAACCCAATCCTCTTCTCCAGGCTGAGCCCCCCCAGCTCCCCCAGCCGCTCCTCCCCAGCCTTGTGCTCCAGACCCTTCACCAGTCATTTTATTTTTTTTCCCAGTAGTTTTTGTGAACTGGGCAGGGGGGGTTGCAGCTGAGGCCGCGCATTGCTCCTAGGCCGGGAGAGCAGGTTGAGGGGCTGGTCTGAAAGCACAGCCCTCGCCTCGCCTGCTCTCAGAGGACAATTTCCATCCATTGCTCTCTAAAGATAACTCTCCAAAGGTGAGGGTGTGTGGGATGGAAAGAGGACCTGGAACTGCTCTGTGGTGGTTGGAAGCATGTGCCAGGAGAGCGCAGTTATGCTATCACTGATTTCTCTTTAATAATCAACTCTAGACACTCCGGAGCAATGCTTTAGCATTTGCATATGAATCCCACAGAGACAATACGCTGC